TTTGTCTTTAATGTTTTTTTTCCTTTCTTCGATTTTTCTCTTTATACTTTCTTTTTTCTGTTTCCTCGTTTGCTCTTGCAAAAAGGATGTTTGCTCGTCATTTCTTTTTTTTCTCTCTTGTCTTGTTTGACTTAAATTGGTTTCTTTCTTTCAAGAAAACAATATTTTTATTCAAACAGTAATTGAATAAAATATTGTCTGTGATCCCCTCCTTCCCACCCGATCCCCTGTTTCTTTTCTTGCTCACTCCTTCTCTGATGGATCCACACAGTGCGATACTCCAAGGGCAAGTATACTCCATATTGGTCCACGTTCCCTTCCTTTACTTCCTACTCCCCACCGCTGCCTCCTTCCCTCCCCTCTTGTCCTTAACCTCTACCTGCTGCCCCCCCTCCTACCCCCTCACCTGTCCCAGCCTGCTTGCCTCTGTTTCCTGTCAGTCTTGCCTTCAGGACTTCCTTCCCTTTTTTCCTCTTTTTCCTCTTCCTCCTTTTATCCCTCCTCCTTTTCCTCTTCACCCTCTCGCTGCAGCTCAGATCCCACATCTCTCACAATGGCTCCTCCTCTGGTCCCCCCCCCCCCAAGCCTCACCCTCTCCTCCCCCACATAACTGCTGCTCCAGAAAACAAAAAAACAACAACAAAAACACCTACAGTGCCCGCCCAAGGAAAACAAAATCTGTGTTCCCTGTTAAGACGTGTCTTTTATCTTCTCTCCTCCTAATCCTTTTCCTTCTGTTGATGGCTCCAAATTGGTCGTGTCGTCTTTCTTAATCTTTCTCTCTGTCTGTTTTTCTTTCATCATATTTATCTCTCTTCTTCATACCTCTTTCTCTACATCTTTTATCCTCTCTGTCTTTTTCTTACAGTGTCATTAGTTAATAAATGTTTAAAGTAGTCATTCAATTAAATAAATAACTCCCTTGTATTTATGCTCTATCTAGTTCAGGTAAAAGTCAAATATTTCTGTTTCCTGTAGAAATGTCCATAATGTAGGAAGAATCTGCAATAATCTAAAATAGTGACTTTAAATGTTTGACCAGAACTGTTATAATATAACAGCACTGGCATATAATGTTCATTACATATTTGCAGTAGAGTAAAGAGGATTATACCAGGTCTAAATATTTAAACAGAGCTATATTTTATTGATTTCCATATTTAAATAAACACTTAAATGTTAGCTGCAGAAGCATCTCGTCTCCAGCTGGAGACGCTGCGGCCTGAAAACTGACCCTTAAGGGCTGAGCTGTTCCCTGCCCGCCCAGGTCCTCCCACGCAGTCAGGTGTCAGGGTGCCACTCGGGCGCGGCGCCTGATTCCTGTGTCGTCCCTATGTACTACCTGTCTCCATCAGCTTGTCTCCCTCCCTCCTCACCCCTCAGACGGCCAGGGGCACGGCCCAACACTCCCTCAGTAAACCTGACCCTGGATGTGCACGGCATTGTGGGCGGAAAACTACCTGGGCACTCTATTTAAGCTGTAAACTTAAAACATTCCATTCCTGTTCAGTACGTAGTGAATGGTTTATGACATGAGGAGAAAATAACGTGTCGGATTCATCTCAGACTCACCTGTTGAGGCTTCAACGCTGGTTCATATTTTGTGCTGTTTTGTCTGTGAGAGATTAAATGAAGTTGCCCTTTCAACATGCCCTTCACAATGCAATGCATTTCCACACATTATGTGTCTCACTACGCCGTCTCCCCTGCCAGTCTGAGGGGTGACCACTTCCATCAGGACCTCCACCCACCCACCCTGCAATAGTTGGCCATGTTGATGCCTGCCTGATCCAACAGCACTCATTGTTTTAAATCTGTCTGAGAACTTACTTCCTGACACGTCACGTCCTGCAAGTCAGTTCTCAGACATCCAAAAATATTAGATTGAAATCAAATCAACCGGAATACATTTGCTGACAAAAAAAACTAAACTAAAAAAAAGAAGAAGGCGTGAGTGCTTGTGAAATTAATGCAGTCATCTATTCAGAGTCAGGTTCTATTTTTAGGCACCATATTGGCTAACGCTAGTGTTTCCATGATACCTCAGTGTTGCTATGGTAAACTCCCTCCTGCGTCCCCACACCTCTGAAGAACAGCTGCTGTTTACCCACAATCCCCCACTGCTCTGCCCACTGCTCTTCCCGGATAATCTTCCCCTTTCTGTTGCAGATTTTGAATCACTGCTGCCAAACAGTTTTGAGTCTGAAGGACATGTATTCATTGCTCCCAGGTAGCCCTGTGTGTGTGACTGCTTGCTGTCGTTGTTGCTCATCAGTTTGTTTGGTGTCTCTTTCAGTGCTTTAAATACTTGACATTGGGGGTTATTATTTTGGCTCCACACATTTTCTATTATCTCTCTGCTTTCTTGAATCATTTGTTGTGACATTAAGTTGCACCGTGAATGTGGTTTGCTTTCATTAATTTGTTTTATTTTTTTATTTTGAGATGTGAGTGAACTCATACCAGTAAACATTTGAGGAAAATATCAAAATTCATCATCAGCTCATTATTTTACTTTTTTGTATTTACCCATTCCCCTCATAAAGTTATCCTCTGAACAAAATATTCCAGCTTTAACAAACCTCCTTTGCATGCTGCTTTTGTGGGACTTTTATCAGACACATATAAGGGGTTAATGGTTTAATAGTGCAATGTTAACATACTGTAAGAATCCATCAAAAGCTGTAAAACTGAAAAAAGTAGCCTTATTATTGATGAAAAACAGACTTAAATCCTGTTTGCATGTGCTGTTTTGTTAACTAGCTGCAACCTGAATCCTGAAGCTCACTGTTAAAAATCACTCTTCATGGTGCTGCTCTGCTCTGCAGTTCATGTTTTGTTTAAACCGATTGCAACTTCTGCCTCATGCCATGCATGCTGCACGTGTTGAAAGTGTATTCATGCATCCTCGTGTTGTGGTTTGTGTCGTCCTTGTAAGGGTAAAACTAGGCAGAGTGTAAATGTTGCATAGACAAGCTTTTTTTTTAAAATATATTTTGGTCTGAGTTGAGATGTCTTGTCTGCGTTCAGGGAGTACTGTAATGATCTGGAACTATCCAACAACAACACTGAGTTCCTGCTCAACTTCATCGCTCTCATGGAGAAGGTGACACCAGACTCCAAACAATGTGAGTGTCAGAATGCACACACACACAAAGTTACCTTATGAAGTGACTGAAAGCTAGATAATTTAGGATGGATTGTTCTTGTTTGGACTGGAGGTATTATTTACATTTCTGCACCTATGCTGTTAATATTCACAACTCCCCACTCACTATGTTAGTGTGGCCTTAAACTGAGCTTCACTATTTGATCTGTTTATGTTTCCATGTTGTCAATTATCTTTCATTTAGTATATATGTTAAAACTACTGGTGTGAAAGCAGTTGCACATTGGAATCCAGATGTTAGTTTCATAACACAGATGTGATGCAAGCCGTTGACTATCCAGGAGATCTAGTTGTACTTTTAAAATTAAAAGGGTCTCTTCTATCTTTTGTTCTGTATTTATGTATCATGAGATTGAGTCTTTACCTTAGTGTACATTTTGAGAAGCACAAAGGTATTTGGCTACTCCTGCCTGCGGGCCATCACATGAAGAGAACTTGTTAATAACAACAATAATTTAAGTACTTAATAGACTCGGAGAAAAACATTAATTTGTCAGTATCAGCCATCAGTAAACATGAGCGGGAAAAAGAATTGGCCTGTGTTGCAAAGTTCCAATGTTGTGCAACCCTGTTGAACAGTGCTCTACAAATAAGAGTTGATTGATTGAGCAATTGTTTGATCGATTGATAGTCTTAAAATGATCTTCCTTTAAAAAAAAAAAGCCCCAGTGACCCATTTGTAGATACACACCTAAAGGCAGAGCACAAAGTATAAGTGGAACGTGGAGTCTTTTCTCTGGATTTGATGATAGTAATAAAGTTGTAGAGAAGCACAGGCCATGGCATTTTAAAGGTTAAATCTTTTTTTTTTCTTTGGGGTGAGAACATCTTCAAACATGACTGATCACTGGGATTATTATCTGATGTGATTGATGTAATGTTATATTTGATTAATGATAACAGTAAGGGTTCAAACCGGCAAAAATGTATGTATTCAGGAACTTGGTCAAAAATCCTTTGTGTTAATATTTAATAAAGTCACAAGTGTTTTATCTTTGGATTAATTTAGGACGAAATTAGATCGAGTGACGTTTTAAAATTCTCTTGGTGCTCCTCATTTATTTATTTTTATTGCTTGACTGCTTCAAGATTCAGCGTGTGTCTGATATTCTAACATATGTAAATATTTTTTTATACTCTTAATGGTCATCTTGATCTAAACACTTTTAGGTGATAATCTCCTTCTTCACAACCTGATTCTGGACACCGGGATCATCCGGCAGCTGGTCGAGAAAGTGTGGAAGAACAAAGACTTGAATACGTGAGTACGATGAGCCGGTACTAAAGGAGTTTCATGCTTGCTGATTGACTCTGTAAAAGATCAACATTTCATTTCTGTCTCTCTTTCCATCTAACATTTAGATACGGCTTTCTGGCCGTGTTTGCCGCAACAGATGGAGGTGTAACTAGAGTGTTTCCAAACAAGTAAGTGCTCTCCTGATGAAGGCCGTGTGTCTGCAGGGGTGCTGCAGCTGCTCTGTAGTTGTGTCTATGTTTGGCACTTTATTGTCTTTTAAAGTAGTAAAGTGTTAAGACTTAAAACCATCCATAAATAAACAGGTTAGCAGGAGTCAAAGATTTACAGCTCCAGTGTCTCTGTTCTTAAATCTCAGGGCTTCAGAAAGCTGGGAGGAAGATCCTGAGCCGTTTAATGCCAGCTATTACCGCCGCAGCCTCGACAACAAGGGCTACATCTTCCGAGCGCCTTATCGAACAGGTGAATGATGCGGTTGTTTATCTCACACTGGGCCTCGTAATGTGTTCTGTCTCTCTGTTTGTTTCCAACCCCCCTTCTGGCTTATTTCTGTTATTTGTTTCCCTCTTAAAGCCAGGGACGAGCTGCTGAACCCAGAGAACGACACCATAGGAATTCTGGTCAGCACAGCGGTGGAGATCACAGTGGGAGGGAAGACCATCAAACCTGCAGGTGGAGTAAAAAAAAAAATACCTGAAGATGATAGATATTAAATCAAATGTTTCAGAGCAAGGCGCAGATAATTACACGTCTGTGTTTGTATTGATTGGCACTTTGCTGTTTTGTCTGAGCCCTGCATCTATTCAGGTCTTTTCAGGTGCATCTGTCTTTTGATTTTTGCATTTTGTATCTGAATCTTTTTTTCTCTCTCAGTGGTTGGAGTGAAACTTGACCTTGAAGCATGGACAGATAAGTTTAAGATTCTTGCCAGTAACCACACAGACAACCGTCAGGGCTCAAACCAGGTTACAAAAAACAAACTATTACATTTAAAAGCGTAAAGTCTTCATCAGTGTATGGAGGGGGTTTGCTTGCTTACTTTGTTTTGTTCTTTGTGACAGTGTGGACCTAACCGGGGCTGTGAAATGGACTGTGAAGCCAACAGTGATGTAAGGATTTCTGAAAACCAGCTTCTGTAGTCAGCGTCGTCTACTCTACCCACTCTGTGCTCATTCTGTGCTTCTGTTTGCAGGATCTCCTCTGCTATTTGATAGACGATGGTGGATTCCTGATCATGTCAAATCAGAAGGATGACTGGAACAAGGTCAAGATAATACATAAACCCTTATCGGCACTGACCTCGGTGTCATGTTAGTCTCGACACTCAGCTTGACCAGTGTGTATTATTCTGCACAGGTGGGGATGTTCTTCAGTGATGTCGACCCCTACTTGATGTACGCTCTCTACAACAACTCCTTCTACAACCGCAAGCAGTCATTTGACTACCAGTCTGTGTGCGAGCGGTTTCCGAACAGTGAGGCAGGAGCTGCACCCAGAGGAGTCTTTGTGGTAAGGACATCAAATTGAACACTGAACAAGACTGTAGTGTGCTGAGTAAATGTTGTACAGAGAGACTGTTTTATTGAAACATCAACGTGATCCAATGGCTTTAAAATTTCACTCACATCATTCTCTTTCATCTGTTTCTACAGCCGACTATTGCAGATTTCGTAAACATTGCTTGGTGGACGTCTGCAGCTGCATGGTGAGAGTCCTGTTTACAACATGAGAAGCAGATCAGCAGAAGTCGATCAATTCAAACTTGTTACTGAGCACCTCTTTCTCCACAGGTCCATATTCCAACAGTTCATATATGGACTTGCTTATCACAGTTGGTTCACCACAGGTGGGTACAAACAGGACATGTTCAATTCATAAATGTTAACTTGAACATCAAAGCCGTCCAAGCAGCTGCCCCAGATTTGACTCTCACCCTCTGCATTTTACCACATGTCATCCCCCACTCTCATCATCCCTGATTCCCACTCTGTCCACTGTCCCCTCCTCTCATCAAAGGCATGGAAAGCCCCAAAAAATGTGAACCTCAACATTTAGTGCAATACAATTTTAATATCTGTTCTATCTAATCAAATACAGTTGAGCTATAACAAAATAAGTTGCAGTCCCTCTAGAAACTGGACTTTGGGGGGGTTTTCACCAACTTCTGACCTCGGCAAACCCCCCAAGGGACAGACTCGGCACCATCTAATGGACTCAAGAAGTGCCTTACATATAATGTCTTAATTGTACACTTTATATCATGAGAGAGCCCTTTTCCAGCTTGAGTGCCCAATTTGTTTACATGAAACATGTACAGAAACTTTAAAGGAGATAAGTTGTACAGTTTTTCATCAACATACATCTTTGTGATCCCATTTTTTAAAATCCCATGTCATTAATCTATGGAACTGACAAGTGTATCTGGGATGTCTTTGTGCTCTGCTGATGCTGCAGACGAGGTGGATGCAGAAGGATTCGACTCCAAAGAGCGGAGTTGTGTAATGATCCAGACCCAGTACTACTTAAGTAATCTCAGCAACTCCTACAACATCCTGCAAGACTGTGGCAACTGCTCCAGGTCTGTACACACCATAAAATACACACACGCACGCACGCACACACACACACACACACACACACACCACAAAAAGCTGTGCTGTGATAGAGGCACTGTTAGCGAGACAGATTCATCTTTCTGTTGGAGCTAATAAACTCTGCTGATGATTAAAGCGTCTCAGCCTTAATGAAACGGTCATATCATGGGCTAAATGAGCCTCATAAGACCGTCTCATGAATCTCACTGATCCATTAGCAAATGAGACTGTGATGTAAGCGAGCAGGGGGGTTGTTGACTGGGCTGTGTCTCTCTCTCTCTCTCTCTCTCTCTCTCTCTCTCTCTCTCTCTCTCTCCTCCTCTCTCTCTCTGCAGGCTGATTCACGCCAAGAGGATAAACAACACCAACTTGCTGTTCGTGGTGGCAGAGAAGCTGCCATGCAACACCTGTGAAATAGAGAAGCTTTCCCAAGAGGAGGAGGAGTGTATCCTTGTTCACTTTGTTCACCAGCTGGCAGAGGGAAAAGACACTCTCTATAATCACTGGATTCTGTCTATATATCACAGTACTCGTGGAAACACAGATGTTTCATGTTCATTTCAAGGTTATTTTAGTCACAACGTCGTGAACAATTAGCCGTCTTTTACTTACTCAGGGAATATGTGAGGATCATTTTGTGGGCGGGGTTGAAACATTGCAAAAAGAAAAAAAAGAATAAACAACGGGAAAAGGGTTTTTCAGTTTTCCTTAATGGAGTGAATTTTCAGTCTTGGAGGATAATCCATGTGAAGAAGTGGCTGTGGCGCGCTATCGAAAAGGACCCGCCACCTGCTTTGACAATAACATCTCTGTAAGACGATAAGAGATCAACATTTGTTTCCCTTCTTTTTGCTAACACTCCCACAATGCAACACTCCTCATTTTAACCACGATTATGATTGAGCAACAGAATAACTGTCAGTGAATGATTAGTTTAATGATAGTTTCAGAAGTCTGACTTTCTGAAAGGGGGTTGGTGAGTTGTTTAACAAGAAAGTGACTCAGACATGACCTGGCCCTTAACCCCCTCTGTAAAACTTTAACTTGTAGTTTATGGTTTACAGATTAAATCCAAACAGAGATTGTTGAGATACAACATGTTATTGTGGGGCTTTAAAGTTACTGGTCTGATTTTGTTAAGCCAGCTTTTCCCTGATAAACGTGTTTATCATGTGGACAGACAAAATGAAACAAACATTTTGAATATATTCAAGCTCCCATGAGACATTTTTAGCCACTAATAAAAAAAAGACTGAAATTAATACAGATGCCTCTATATCCATACATAACCGTCAGTATTATTATTTATTTGTTTTAAGTTATTTTTAATAACTAAAACCATAGCTTAGCTTAGAGGTAGGAAGTGAAGAGTAACTGCATGCCGTCCAAATAGTGTGAGTAATACATTTGACCTTTAAGAGACGCAGGATGAGAATCTTTGTTTCTAATTACACACGTGCAGGAGAAAAATCTGCGGGTTAGGGTTAAGAGATTAGAGGAAGTGCTTTGTCCACAGAGGTTACCTGAATTGACACAAATGGAACTCACAGGAGCACTAAGCTGATCCTAGCTGCTACAATAAAATTGATTAAATATAGAGTTTTTCTTTCAGCCTGCAGTAACACTACATAAATCGGCAGTACATGATTTTTATACTAACAGCTTCAATGTGTCCCCTGCAGGAGAACACGTCAGACTGTGGGCGAGGACACTCCTTCCGTCCGTCGCTCCACACCTTACTGCTCATCCAGCTGCTCCTGCTCTATCCCGCCATCTCCCCCCAAATCCAAACGCTACTACATTAATTACATTTTGCTCCGCTTCCTCTCCTTGCAGCCCCACTTTCCCTGACCTAGACCCTCCGACCCACCTTCTCGCCCCTCAACCCTCCCCTTGTTATAGTCATAGGTTAAAATGGGACTTCCCATCACAGCAAAAATGGAAGCCCTGAGCGCTGCGCTACCCAGCTCGCTTCAGTTTGTGTCGCTTAGTGACAACTGCCGGACGTTTGCGTCCTCCGCCAGTTAACCTTCATCCGCAAGAGGAGGCACTGCTGTGGTGCCGCACCACCTGGATTATCAGAAGCTACGTCAGAAAAGAGAAAACAAACGCCTCTACAACCGCCCCTCCCCACCATCCCAGAGAAGGGAGGGGACAGAGGAAGGGTGTACGTCCTCGTCACAGACCTCCCGCCTCACACAGACTGGAGAGTTGAGGTCGACTGTCTGTCAGACAGACCAGGAGGGGACTTCTCCTCCTTCTTCTCTCCTCCATCTCAGAGTGTCGCCGCTCTGTCATTCGCCTCTCGTCAGAGGCTGTGGACCATTCAGCCGATTATAGCCGCCATTAAAAAAAAAATCAATTAAAAAAATAACTGTCAAGTATACAAAATGTCAAGTATAAACCGCTGAAGTGATGAGTATTCCAAACATACAGTGTATTTAGTTTTTAATTTGAAAAGGAAGTCGTTAGGTGTTATCTTAAAAAGATTTAATTTATGCACTATATCTACTTGCCAAAATGAGATAGACTTTCATGTGGTCTTATTTTTACGGCCCAAAACACGAGGAGGAAATGGCTTCTGATTAAGATTAAGGATAAACCAGGAGAGGGAGAGGACACACTGAGAAACTAAACGCTGATTCATTTTAAGCAGCGCCCTAATGATTACAGATGAATGCTTTTAAAAAGACGTCCGCTGGGGATTATAGTAATAACATGATACTAATCACATTTCATAAAGTACTATCATCTATTTGTCATGAGTAAAAGCTGCAGAACATGACCCAGTGTTTGGTTACTTCAGATCTGTTGATGTCGTGTTCTCCTTTATGATTAATCGACCATTCTGACCTCTGGTTTGGACTGAAGTTTAAAAAAAAGAAAAAAAAAAGACAGGTCTGAGCTCTCTGAAGCTCAGCTCACCTCTGCCGGTCTTCATGAGGCTTCTCCAGTAACCTCTACTAACGCTCCTTCTCTGGATTTGTAAATGTGCTTTACTTCTGTCCACAAACAGACACAGCGAGATCTCTGCCTCATGACCGTCTAGTTCCAGGTGGGTTTTTTTAATTTTATCTTTTGGGGGCTTTTTGTTACTTTAAGACTGAAGCTGTTTAAACTTCAAAAACCATTCGCTGCTGGGGTTTTGGGGCTTATCAACATTTTCCAACAAAAGTGCAGAAGAGGCAACTAAATATGGTGATCACGTGCTGTAGTAGTCTGGTAATAATCTGTCACAGTTTCTCATTGATCATTACAATGTGTGAAAAGTCATTTAGACTCCCATGTTTAGGAGCCGCTCTGTTTCATAGTGCCTTGATGCACTTTGTTTTGGACCACATCGGCTGTCTAGGTGTAGAGAGACCGTATAGTTCCTTTATAAAGCAGCCGTATTTGAGGTTTTGGCTTGTAAGACTTAATCTGTTTGCTAAAAGAATAGCTTTACACACAGTTTAAAGTATCTGCCCCCTCCAGAGCCACCTGACTGCCATCATATGGAGTTACTATACCGTTCCTTTACAGAGCCATGTATAGAGCTACGATGCACCATCTGTATACAGCGACTTAACTGGCCGTAGAGCGTTTTTAGGGCCACCTGACTGCTAAAGTTCTGCCTGAATTGTATGTGGATGTGTATGTGTGTGTGTTAGTTTGTGTTACACAGCCCTCAAAGGGAATGTCTTTTAAATATGAGTGTGTGAGGGATGACAGATGTGTAGCAGAGCTGTTTTATTTTTTCTGGTCCTATGTTGCAAAGGTACAAAAATCCAGTGTTGTATTGGGGGGAAAATAGGGATTTTTTTCAGAAACAAAAAGAATCCATCTTTAAACTTCAGTCTGTTTAAATATTCATTTTTTATGCAGCAGAGTTGTCTGAAAGAATGTGTATTTCATCAGTGTTTTCTGCTTCAGATGCAACATATTAAATAAAAGCCTCTCTAAATGCCTTAGTGTTACTCAGCATCGAGCTCTAATATCGTTTTCCCAAAACCACCTCATGAACACGCACACTAAAGAGATCCTCCAAAACACACACACACGCTCCCCCTGGGTTTTCTTGGTGTTTTCTGCAGTAAGTGTAGTGATCCATGCCTGTTTTATTTAAAGTGCTTGAAAAGCAGGTGGGAGTGTTGAATTAAAAAAAAAGAAAAAAGAAGCCTCCGACCTTCGATGTTCACCCCCACCCACAAATCTCACTGTATTGCTCAGGTGGGAGGACTTGCGCGACAATTTGAACCATAACTACACACTCTGTACAGTTGTTGGTACGATTTGATGTGACAAACATGCTGGCACAGTATCTGCAGCGCAGCCAATTTGAGAAACAAATCCTAAATTTGTTCAATCTGGCTCCTTGAGTTATTTGTGTTTCAAAATTCTTCATGCGGGTGGGAGTCATCTGAGGCTGCATGCAGTTTGAACTTTTCCAGCATTGGTTTGTCTCAGTCCTGTGCCATTAATCCTGTCTGTGTATCCCAATTTTCACTGTCTGTAAATGAGCGCTACACATGCCTGTGGATATGTACCCCCTGCAACTTCCTCTCTTTTCCTGACCTCTGTACGCAGACACAAACTAAATATGTATGCCTACAGTTTATTGCACCTTCACACACACACATACACACACACAGACACAGCTGTAAGCAAATATTTAATGACACATGTTCATGCCCAGCTGAAAGATGTCAAGCACCAGGCAGAAGTAAGCCAAGGACTTCAATGTGTGCTTTCATTTTGGCGAGGGGGCAGAATGTCAGAGGAAAGCTCAGGGAGTGGGTCTCCACAGAGCAGCAGGGGCCTGAAGGTCTCGGAGGAATCATGTGTGCATCCCGATAAGAAAAAAAAATCTCCTTAAGGGACACGCAATTTCTGTGGTTTAACAAATTTACTTTTGCCAAAAAAAAAAGAAAGATATATAGAAAATTGGGCCAGCGTGGGGAAGAGAGGGAGGGGTCAGCTTTAGGACAGGACCCTGAACCAAGCCTGGGGATGGTTTCATAAAACCTCTTGCCTCCTCCCGACCCTCGCTGCATCTGTGTTGGTGCGTCTCTGTGGGAAAGACACGTGTATGTGATTCTGTAGTCTGTAGTCTGGTGCTATGTGACCATGTTTGACGAAGTGTGTGAAAAAATAACAGCAACATTTAGAGAAAAAAAAAAAGAAAATCAGTCGAATTCTAAGTAAAGTAACAAAAAATAAATATAGGAATACAGCACTGTTGGTAAGTTTGAGATCTGAAGTTCAAATGTTTTTGTTTTTTTATTTCGTGTACGTGTGAGTGTGAATGTTGGTGTGCGTGGAAGATTTAGCTCCTTCTTTTTTGTGGGCACTGGTCCATGTCGCTCCATTCTTTTGTACAGATGAAGCTAAAAAAAAAAAAAAAAAAGAAGAGGGCATAATTTGTAAAATATTGTGTCTGTGACTCCTTGTAAAATATTTTCAAATTGTTTATTACAGAGAATCAGTTATTAAATAATGTTCATATTTTTCACTTCATTTCCGTGTGGTGTTTTGTTTTTTCAGATGGAGATTAGCCCTTTGTTACAGTTACGCTATCAGAGGTCAGTTTTTGTTCTCTTTGGGGCACACTCCTCTCACTGGCAGACCAATCAAAGCTGGGTGATGGACGTCACTTGTGATAGAGTATACAACAGAGTATACAAATGTCCAATCCACACCCGGTTCATAATCCCGAAGAACCCTGAACGTAGCGGCTTTTCATTGTGTCACCTAATTCAGCAAGAGAAGGACTCAAACTGAAAATCTCCAAGGAGAATAACTTTGACGTTACAATCTCAAAGATCATTGATCAACAGTCAGGCTGATAAGGAGTTATAGCATTGACATAGTAATCTTTATGAACCTCATCTTGATTTGAGCCAGAAACAACTCCACAATGTGTTTGACACATTTGGAAGAGCTCAGAAAAAATCTTTGTAACTTGATGACATCACTTTAAAGAGTTGAATAGTCAGTCAGTTGCATTAGCTCGGTTTCCCCTCGATGGACGGCTAACCACTGGTGTGTTATTGAAAACGCCTCACTGACTGTATGCTGCTGTTTCTCCCTGGTTATGTCATTGACTCACTTATAATATGTTACACAACATCGTTTAACGTAAGGGCTCAATTATTGTGGTATTGGGACCACATTTGGTTAAAGATAATGACGTAAAAAAAAAAAAAAAAAGATTTAGATTTAGATTAAATACTTTAAATGATTACTTTGAAGCTCCAGTGAGTTTAACTTCATATTTTTGCTCTTTATGACTTACAAAAGACAATTAAAATAAAGATAGAAATAATCTATGTAGTTTTCATTTGTTGCCTGAAACAGCTGCCAAAGAGTAGGTGACAGAAAAAGTGACTGACATTCTCAAAAGGTGATACATTTGACTTTTACAGAGAGCAGGATGAGATTTTTTTTCTTTTAAATAACACCACTGACAGAATCCTCAGAGTCAAAGAGATACCACTTTGTCAGGGAGCCTGAAAAGTGACCCAAACAAAAAGTTCCCACCTTCATTTTTAATATGATACGCTTAAAAACTCTGAGCCTCATATCCTCTTATTATTATAAAATCTTGAATAGCTCATCTTATACTGATTGTACTTAATAAAGTCAAAATCAGCAGGACGTGAGTGGCCTTCAACTCTAGTGAATGAATAATATGTCGGTCATTTATTCGTGACAATGCTGTAAGAATCTCTTCACAGCGTGTTCACAAAGTCTGTGAGCGCTTTGTGCCAAGTGTCCGGGTCGTCCAGGTAACAGGGGTGACCCGCCCCTTTCATCATCACCACACTGTGATTGGCCAGACTGCTCAGGTTGCGGAGTGACAGTTCTCCGAGCTGAGCGTCCTGGTCTCCATAAACGATCAGCGATGGGACCTTCAGGAGAAATGAGAGAGAGGTCCTTCAGATGGATCAACCTTTTTCTGATCTGATTTCATTTCTTTAATACATATATTCTTTTGTATGTTATGAAATTTAACCCGTAGCTAAAGGGATTTTGTAAATGTCCTCCAGTTGACCTCGAGAAGGTCATTGTGAAATAAATGAGAAGCTCCTTATGTTTATAAAGTGTAACTTGTTTATGTACCTAGATATTTAAAATTTAAATCAAAGTACAAGAGTATAAAGAGACGGTCAAGCAGAGCTTCTTTTAAGTAGATTAGCTTGGTGGTAAAAATCATCCTTATAAAGCACCAGTAAGTCTTCATTAAAGTGCTAATCAGAAATTCGAACACGTTTTTTTAAGTGATTTTGGAGGAGCTTGTCCAACAACTTGTGCGACTTTCAGCCAACACTATTTGCCATTCCCACCAAATCTGTGATTTTCCAGACGTACAGAGGTGAGGAAGAGGTTTGAACTTCTTATTTATTTCTGTCTCTTCTTATGTGACCAACAAAGAGCACTCTGACTGTATTCCGGGAAACAGTCTGCGTATTTAAAGAACTATAGTGTCTCCCATCTCATCACATCGTCATCGTCAGAGTTATGTTGTCAGGATCCTGAGACGCCAGGAGCCACAGCCAGAAAAGAAGTTATGCAACTGTTTTCCTGAGGTAAGTTAATCACCCCATCAACAGTAAGTATCAAGAACATTAAGGCTAGATGTACTCTTAATGCGTAATCATATCTAATAGGAGTGTTTGTATTTATTGAAAGAAAGAACAATATGTATGCAAGATGAAAAAGTTGTACATAAATTGAAAGAATAGAAAAACAAACATGACTGGGACAGAGATGGTGTGAAATCAAAGATGGTAGAGGGTTTGTCTAATTCTGTTGAAGCTCACATGATCTACTTTATTTTCAACAATTTAAGACAATGTACATAAAATTCAAATTGCATCAATTTCTACTTATTTTAGTATCTTTCTCCTCGTTACCCTCTTTTCCACTCACTGCATGCATTCAGATAGTTTGCTTTTCTGCAAAAGTAATTCCCCCCCATCCCGTCTCTCACTCAGTTTGCATTCTCCCTCCTTCATGGATAATGCACCTTCACCTCGTTTTTCATCAAAGAAATGTTGAAACTGTCAGGCGCTGGATGAAAGCCAACAGTATCTCTGAAAGTTTAAAGAGACATGATACCTGCTTCACTCATAATTTAATGTATAAATACACACTACATGGTTTAGCTCAGTGATTTAATCGTGTCCAATCCAATGTACAATAGCTATGTCCCTCAATGCAGCGGCCCCGGGTTCGATTCCCACCCTGCACCATTCACAGAAACTTCTGCCCTTAGTCTTCACTGTTTCCGACTCTATCCACTGTCCTGTCCTCTGAATAAAGGCATGAAAAGCCCCCCAAAATAATCTCTTTTACAAAAAAAAAAAGGAGATGGGCGAGCATGAAAATGGGGCTGACATTCACGCTATCCATTTAAAGTGAAGAAGAGGAGCACAGTAGTGACACATCGGACTGTACCTTCACACTCTGGTACTGCTCTGCTGTGAATTTGTCGGTGCAGATTGGAGCCACGGGGACGTAACCTCGGATAAGATCCTGGTGCTGCATGAGAAAGGGGAGCGAGTACATCCCGCTGAGGGACGGGCTGATCACCACCACCGGGCTTAGGTTCAGCTGATCACACACATCCTTCAGGAAACCTGCAGGGGCCAGTTCTCCCACCGCAGCCGGGGCCTCAGCTGACTTAGACCTGCCGAGTCCTTTGGATGAAGGCATGACACAAGAAGAAAAAGATGCATGTTGAACCTTTAGAAATACAATTGTCCCAATTTGTTCACAGCAGAGCGACACATAGCTACATACACTACCTTAAATGTGTCCCCTATACAAACTCTTCCTATAAGTTCAGGGGTTAATCCAGGAGCACCACATAAAGCCTCTTAGGTTGTCACCATGCTTAAGTGTTCAGACTAAGGCTTTCATGGTAGTTACAGTCACAATAAAGCACATGTGCACTTTAGTTACCATGGTTACGCTTCACTTGTATCATCCTCTAACGGTACTTGACAGTATTGTTGTCAGTGTGAGCTAGCTTCCCTGAAATGGACACAAAGAAGGCAAACTGAGCAGAAGATGAGAACTGTTCTCTTCCAGGACCAAAGACGCACAAAGACGAAGATGAAAAACATTTTTCTCATTTGAGATGAGATTTTGTTGAGGATTTAAAAAAGACTCGCTGTGATGTGTTCTGTGGATTCTCCCTGTCATGAAGAACATGCCTTGGTTTCTCCTCCTCGTCTTCAACCACAAGAATTCAATCCTCGTCTTAAGTTTCACAAATCAATTCACTTTCTGTTATGAGTCTTTTTACATTTTTAACTAAATGTTACCAAGGAGCTTCTAGCAGTAATTAAAAAGCTAAGGGCAAACACATACAGATAAAAGTCTAAACACCTTAAAACAACCTATGGAAAACCTGATGTTGACTTTATGAAACAATTTGTCCCGTAAACATTTTTAAATATCTTTCATAAATTACAAAACATATGCTTAGAAATCCCAGCAAAAACAAGCAACAAATAACATCAGAGCCTGCCTGAGATTTTGCTGATTTTTTTTGTGATCCAGAGATAAATGTTTGTACATCCATCTGCATTTCTTCAAAACTGCAAATTTACCAAAAAGTAAAAAAAAATGAGTTATGAGTTTGTCTGACAAGAGGGCTATAATGGCCAACTTATACTTACAAGCAAATACAAATAGAAAGAGTAAACTTCAAATTTTGATGCATCCATCTAAAAAGGAAAAATAATTCACTAAATCATCTTTACAGAAGATGACTTTTTGAAAAAGGCTTAACAAATAATTTGCAATGAATATAAAAATATGATATTCATCAACAATGATGGTGATAAAACTATAGTTTTTTTAAGTTAACTGGTACAAGTTCTTTCTCGAGTAGTCACCAAAGTCCAGACTGAGTGCACTCATGGTTTGGAGCTGGTTCCTGCTCTGCTTTGATAAACCACACCGGTACTTAGTGTTGAAAAAGATCAAACCTGTTCCTGTCACACTCACCTGGCAGGTCGATGGCAACAGCCCGGCAGCCGCTTCTGGCCAGAGTGTCCAGAGTGCCGATGTTGAGCCAGTTTTCTGAGGAGAAACGGATGCCGTGCAGGAGTAAAAGTGACATCCTCGCCTTCCCTGAGGAAGGTTCACTTTGTCTGAAGAAGAGCGGAGCTGTGCAGCTGCTCACCTGAACGCTCCCTTCTGACATCTTCACAGATGACATCCTGAACGAAAAACACACACACCACAAAACTGTTCATACTAATCAGACCACACACACAAACATCTCAACTGCACCGAAGAGTGTACTTTAACTTCAGTTAAACTACAAAACTGTCATTTTCTGTCACGTTATACATTGAAGAGGGAAATACTTTTTTATTCAACATTTATTTATTAACCCAAGAAACCAGTTACTCAGTTTCAGATTGACATTCCAAAGTAAATGTGATAGACACACTCTGATGAATTACTAAAAGTCAATGAAAGACTTTATTCATCCTTTTATTGAAAATTCCTAAACTTACCAGCAGCTTATACAGTTAGTAAAAAAAAAGCCCCACCTTTATCAGCTTCAATATAAAAGAAATGAACCAAAATCTAAAATCTTATAAATAAGGATACAATAAACATTTGAGTCTTAATTATGAGGCAAATATAATTTTACTTTCACTCATTAAAGTTCTAATGCACAACTTTCATTGGTCAGTTTTTCTACACTGTGTGGAATAACTCATCAACTATTCATTCATCAGCTGGTTATAAACGTGTATTAAATACTTAGAAATGTGTCTGTTAGTGCATCCATCAGACAGAAGAAGCATCAAATGTGGATAAAATATAAATATGCAAGTAAAAAGGGCCTCAAGATCCTCCACAAACAACAGAATCTAACTGAACAACAACAACAACAACAACAACAACAACAACAACAACAACAACAACAACAACTGAAGGATGGAAGCAAAAGGAAAGTTTGTTTCCTTCATTTTTATCAAAGAAGATCTGTGCTTGTTAAAAAAGACACTAGCACACAAACAAAGTCAACTTAACTACTACTGTATACAGCAGACTCAGGTGAATCCTCACCTGTCTGTCTGGCACAGTTAAAAAGTTAAATATTATAAATGTTTTATTTAAAGATATGAATCACTTCAAATCACGACGTGTTATACTCTTCATTTGTCCACGCTTCACAGCGTACTTTAGCATTATAATAAATCCACAGCAGAGATCAAATCACGTGTGTTGTCCGGTTCAGTGTTTGACATAAAAAAAAGAAAAGGAGTTTAGGTAGAAGGCCGCAGCTGGCGGGTTAAAGCCTCCGTTCAAAGTCCACATGAAGTCATTTAATTCGTGATATCGAGCTCAATAACAAACAAGGAGAGAAAATAAACCACCTTCTTCTTCTTCTTACCTCACAGCCTGCAGTCATGAAACCAGGATATACTTCAGACTTCAAGCAGCTGGACTTTCACTTGATTTCCCGGAAAAGTGTAGAAATGTAAAAAAAAAAAAAAAAAAAAAACCCTGTCAAATTATTCTACTGACGTCTAGTGTTTGAAAGGGGAACTGCGTTTTTACTTTAGCATCGTCAGTGTCTGTTTTTTTTTTTTTTTGCTCCAAATATTTGATTGAATCCTGCCAGAGTGAATATTTGAGTGTGATTTTCAAAAGGTGCATGCAGGAGGACTGATGTGCATGTTCATTAATGATTGATACCTGTATTGATCCGCTGTGTTTTAGGGATTAGGGCCTCTGTTTGAGTAAGGGCTCAGTGTCCGCGCGTGGGTGGTTGTGTCTAAGTCTCTATTTCATGGTTTACTGCGTTTTCTCTGACTGGATTTATGACTTCCTGTTGAACTGTCCAAGGGAATAGTTTGATTTGGAAAAGAAGACTTTTGATGCCATTGAAGATTCACAGATCTGCCTTTATCGTCCTCAAACAATGAAGCTGCTGCTGCTCTGTTTCCTCCTGACAGTGGACCCGGCCTTAGGTAAGAAACTCTAATGATCCTAATTGTCTTCAGTTATAAATGACTCCTAGTAATAGTGATTTATGTGTTGATATAATTCAGGAAGTTTTCTTTCATTTATTGATTTATGTTATAGTCAGATAAAAGAGACAGAAAAATTGTAAACAAACTTAAAAAAAACAATCAGTTATTTTTAAATTAATATTCACATGGTTACTAGAATTGTTATAAACTTTTATAACTACATAATAAATAGTAGTACCAGCAGTAGTATTGTTATGTGTTTCAGTGAGCAGATGTGTTGTTGTCAGTTTCTCCTCTCTGCTCTCACAGCTAGCAGCAGTACTGACTTGGTCCAAAGGTTGTATGTGAGCAGGCTCATGCCCAAATGTTGCAGCTGGTACCACTGACCTGAACTCCTCTTTAAACCTGGACTCTTTGACTCACCACCTGGTTGTTGTTGTTTTTAGGGCTGGGTATTTCCCAAAACCCCATGACACCATACGTATCAAAATACAGAGGCCACGATGCAATACATATCGTGTCAACATTGATTTTGGATAATGACCATGTCCTACACAGAATTCACGACAATAGCTGTTCTTTATTGTTGAGAATAACAGCAGAGGCATGTTAAGGATTCTACAAATTAAAACACCTCGATTCAGGTCCTCAGAGATCCTAGAAATAAATTAAGATATTTAAATCCCAGAGCTATGGCTATGTGGCTATAGTGATCTGAACCATAGGGCAATTGTCTTTCAAAACCGTATCGAGTCTGTAACATTCTGTATCAATGTATTTGCAAGGAGCACATGAAGGTATATTGTGCTATCGACTTTTTTTGAGCACAGCCCTAGTTGTTTCGTATTTTTGTGCTGTGTATAAACAGGTTACCGCACTCCTCTGAATGACTTCCAGCGCTCCGAGGGCAGAGAGCTGGTCCCCACCTCCTGGAACTCAGCTCGGGTCCTGCTCTTACCGGGTCTGACCCTGGAGGACTGCGCCAACCGCTGCTCACAGTCTCTGGACTGCAGGTAAACAACCCTCAACTGGTTTAATTCAGTAGTTTAAATGAATAGGCAATGCAACAAAGCCATCATTAAAAGTGAATAGAACTGGAAATTGTTACTTGTGCCTTAATTTAACTAAATGAGAAAGACCCGTTGAGCTGGTCAAAAGCAAATCACTTCATCAGTGCTGAAACATCTTGGTTTCTGACTCATTTTCCTCTGCAGTTTGCTGCTGTCATTGGGAACTTGAAGACTTACTATAAATCATAACTCAAGTAAATGCATTGTTCTTATTGTCAATGGATTTTAGGAAAAGACAACCATTTTATTCCTCTCTGCCTTACACCTTCATGTAAAACATATCACTGGCTGACATGTTCTTTTATCACCATGAACACAATCCAACATACATGCCCCTACAGTTGTAAATAATCAGTAAAGCATGTTTTTCTTATGAAACTTCAGCTGAATAAAGTCTATTTGATCATAATATAAGCTTAAAGCACCTTGCTGTTTGAAGAAATGATTGACGGTTTTTAAGAACCTTTTTTTTCGTTTTAAGACGTCTGTACATGTTTTCTTTATCACCTAACACTAATTATTAGTGCTTGTTATAAAGTTATAAAGTAATGTCAGTATGATCTGAGTCTACTTAGTTCTGCACTTGTGTTCTTTCATAGTATCATCATAATATCCATTGGTTATGTTTATATTGTTCTCATAAATTTTATTTCTGAATACTTGGAACAAACTTTGCAACAAAAAAGGTTGATATGGCAACCAGCGGTTTTAGCTGGATCATCTTCAGCATTTTATTTGGAGTGTAAACAAAAAGTGAATTCACACTAAATGCACGATGATGACCCTGACTTTGTGCAGGCTCTCTGCAGTGAACTGTAGAGGTCGATTGACTTAAAGTCCTAAAAAGTCTGACGTGTAAAAAATTCAACTGACGTAAAAGTTGAATAAGAAGAATAATAAAAAGTTATAAGACATATTGATAATCTACGTCCTCCTCTGCAGCTGAGAGCTTTTAGCAGTAATGTGATCAACAACAGTGATGGAGTGATGGTGTTTTACTATGCCATGCCTCAGCATATATCTTCATTGTGTTTTCTTATTGTTGCTCTCTTAAGATAATGTTCAGTCTGTGTGATGTATTTGTAAAGCAGTGTATTGTTATCTTCTGAATCAGCTTTTTCCCCTTGTGAATGTGGTAAACCTTCATAACTGGAATCAAAATCATCCAAATGGAATCAACCAATCTATGTATTACAAACTATTTATAAAGTATATTACAAAAGAGCAGGACCAAGACCTTACTCATTGTTATGCTACAAAGACCCAGCGTTAATCTATCATGAGCAGAGCACTTAGCAACATTTAGTTAAGTTATAGTGGCATAGAAAAAACGTAATTTTCAGAGGCAGAAATCTTGGGGCAAACCAGGCTCACAATGAACAGCCATCTGCTGAAACTGCGCTGGGCTTGTAAAAGGGGATAGAGGAAGATGCAGGATGAAGCATCTGCTGTCATAACTGATGATTAAAATGAAACCTGGACCAATCAGAATGTGTTTATCACAGTTTGGTTTTATAGACTGGTCAGCTCAGTACTCTTTTTTTATTTCTGTAATGTCCTTGTTTAAATCTCAGTGATTTTGTCCCTTTACGCCAGAGCGTTCAACTACGAGACCCGTCCGGCAGTGACCTGTAAGCACCTGCCCTGGGTGGGAGACGGGAGTAACGCCGAGGTGCAGAGAAACGTGAATTGTGACGTTTATGAGAAGAAGGGTAAGACTCAAGGAGCATCTATGGTGTGATGTAACAGAGATCAATGTGTCATGTTATTTGACTGTTGTTGTTTTTTTTACCACAAAGTCTATGTCAGAAAGTGCATTGTTGATAAAGGACAAGACTACAGAGGGAAAGTGTTCACCACAAGAAGCGGGCTCACCTGCCAGCAGTGGTGGTCCAAGTTTCCTCACGACCACAGGTGAGACGCTTCCTGAACTAATCGTTACAGAGACTTTAAAAAGATTTACAAAGAATCAAATGCTCGACTCCAGCACACAAGATGAAATATGATCCTTTAGACCACGCAGCAGTTTTACAGATCCCGAACACACAGACAAACCCAAAGAGAAGAGTTTTTTATTGTAATGTTAACAGCTAACCTATAAGTTACATGACCTCAGTCTGTCCTGGTTTGTTCTTCATGAAGGTAAACCTCACAAAAAAGCAACAAGTGAAGAGTGCCGCAGAAGCCATTATGAAAAAATATGGAAACTACGCAGTTGCTTTAAATGTGTATGAAATAGAGGAGTCTTGTATATACCCAAAGAAAATGGTCTACAGTTTCCCTCTGCTAAACAAAACTTCTCAGCTCATTATACAGAGATATATTAACACCTAACCAGACCAGATTGATTGAATTCTGGGACATAGAAAAATAACTAACTAATTCAGCTAAATTTGTCAAAAGGCCAGAAAATATTTAGGTACTCAACTACTTCAATTTAATTGAGATGAGCATGAGCATGACCTTTTGATCTTCCAAACACTATGAGGTTTCCTCTCCGATGCCAAGAGATCAGATCTCATAATAAAACACAAGTGTCACTGTTCATCCATTTTTGACCGACATCTCTTATCATTTTAACATTCTCCACCAATCTCTGTGTTCCTTTCAGGTGGACTCCCACAGCTGCTAATGGTCTGGAGTTAAACTACTGCAGGAATCCAGACGGGGATCGAATTGGTCCGTGGTGCTACACCACAGACCCCGAGAGACGATATGAGAGCTGCAACATCCCCCAGTGCAAAGATGGTACATCAAATCCATCTCAATAACCATGCTGTGTAAAGGGAACCCGTGTGTGAATGTTTTATTTAAACATCCTAAACCTGTCCTGTCATTTTCAAGGAAATTATATAGAAGTTAAAGGGGAGATATTATGAAATATCCACTTTTACAGTGTTTTTGAGCATATATCTGGGTAACCTGAGTGTCTACCGACCCACAAAATGTGAAATAAACCCATCCAGTCCTTTGTTTGTGGTCTGCATAAGTCTTACAACACAGAGAAAAATGATCTGTTTCAAATTTGCTCAGCTTGTGATAGAATAGAATAGAATTACTTTATTGATCACAAACTGGGAAATTGTGGATTGGATGTCACAAGTTGGATTCTGGAAAAAAATCCCCTCCCCTCCCTTCCCCTGGTATCTCCTCCAATGGACTCTACGCCCAGCCTAGAGCAAAACTTTTGTGCAGGTCCGCCATTTTTATTCTTGCTACAGAGGAGTGATGTCTACCAGGAAAACTCAGGGGGGGCTCTTTGCATTTAAAGAGACACACACACCAAAACAGAGTGTTCTGAGAGAGCTGGATAATACAGGGTCACAAACCTCCTCTGGTGCTTGATTCATGTTATATTTTGACCAAGGCACAGTACATATGTTTCATTTAGACCACAGGGGACTGTTTGAAAAGGGGG